AACACACACACAACACACACACACATATATATATATATATATATATATATACATTGTATTGAAGCACATGAATATATATATATATATATATATATGCAGATACACACATACACTCACACATATACACACATACACACACATTCACACACATTCACACACATTCACACACACACACACACACACACACACATGTATATATATATATATATATATATATATATATGTGTGTGTGTGTGCGTGTGTGTTGGACTTTATGAAGTCAAGCATGTTTTCTTAAATGCTGGTCAATGTGCATAATTTTAGGTTGCATACCAAGTGATCACAACCTCGTGCGGATTGAATGTCTATTATCATTCTCAATGAAGATAACTGGCGCTGTTTCGCACTTTCCTGTTGTACTTTCTTCAGTATCGATTTGACCCATGTGTATGTATATATTTTTAGGTACTAACCTCACCTTATGTTACCCGATGTTACCACATTGTTTGGCACTACGCACTGAATGCAACCATTACCCTCTGCTGCCCTACAGAATCGGCACTGGACAGAGAGCCACAGATGGACCTGTACATTCATCATCGCTAATCGTGGTCAAAACAGTTCTAGCCACCTCTCCAGTGGCGTTCCAAAGTATAGTGGGGACACTCAAGCCAAAACCGTATTTCTAGTGAGTACGCATAGACAGTATAGTATTGGTTACATATCGCAACCAGCCATTGGTCGTTCACAGTACAGTGAGACACAGCAAGCTAAGGGCACTGAGCAGTATACGCTGAAACAGCAACCAAGTGATGCTAAGCAGTACAGCGGTGCGCAACAGTACTTTGGCGGCTACCAGCCTCTGGCGCCTACATCGGCGAACAGCAAGGGCCGCGAGAAAGACCACAGTTCACCCATTGCAAAGTCTGCTGGGGTGACTGATACCGCATTTGGCAAACGATCACTCAGTGACAGTCAGGGTTACGCTGGTACACGGCGAGCCAGTGATAGCCAACCGTACAACGGCAAGCAACAGCCCTTTGTCGGATCTAAATCTTGGACACCCACACCAGTGAACACCAATATCATGAGCAATAGTTCACCCACAACAAAGCCGAGTGGTGTATCAACCGGCACACCGAAGTCGTCTATAGAACAGTATACTAGTAAGCAACCCACGTCAGGCGCCTTCGCAGTCAGTACAGCCTCAGCCGGCCCTTCCACCACCACAAGCAGGAGGTCTTCGCCTGGCATCTCGCCTACAGCAAGCAGCGGAGACATGCGATCCTCGAGTAGACCTGGCACAACCGCACAATGCAGCACTAACATCATTTGTAGCAGTAGCGATACTAGCCTTGGATATTCAAGCGCTCCTCATAATACGATGGTATCAGTCAACAGGCGTAACTCAACGGGTGCAAGTAGCGGTAGAGATATCAAACAGGATACTGCAGGGACCACCGGTGCTTTGCCACAGACTGGCAAGTGGGTGTCTAAAATGGAGCAGGGGCTATCTCGTGATAGTAAGCCGTGTCTGTTTGGCTATACAGGAGCCTCCGGGCCTGGAAAGATCAGGAAGATGGTATCGAGGACGGAAAGCGACATAGACTCGGGTATCGAGAACAGTGATATCACGCAGTTTATAAATAGACGTCAGCGCGAAGGGGCTGGATACAAGAAAGGCATTGATCGGGGTAAAAGTACTAAGCACGAGAAAGGGACCAATCAAGCTAGTACAGCTGAACAAAAGAAGAAATTCAGAGACATTAGCAGCATTCAATGGAAGTCAGCAGTTACGAAGCTCGCGGATGTGGTGGTGAACAGGGTACCCAAACAGGCACAGATCACTGAGAATGAGAATAAGGAAGGTGTTACAAGTACGGTCCGGTGTGAGACCAAAGGAGGTGGCACCGGCATGTTGAAACAGCAGCCACAGACAGTCGAATACGAATCTTTGCGCAACAGCACGAATGTACAGGTGGGCGGCTCACTGCCTGGGACTGCTAGCACTGCTGCAGCACGAGCGTATGCACACAAACGTTCATCACCATCCGCATCCACACACGCACAGAGAGGGACGGATACACCTGTGCAGAGTGGAACAGACCTGTATGCACGACCGAAGTCGCCCGTAGAGTTAGGAGAAGAGAAGCAAAATACGGTAACTGCTGTAGAAACCCCCCTGACGATTTTATCGCACACTGTACACCAAATAGAACGAACAGCTACAACTACCACGCACGATCAAACTCCTGCAACTACTACGGCAAAGCACCCCACAAGCGTACCACCCACTGTATGTCCAACAGAACAAACCACTGCAACCATCACACACGGTCACAGTTCTGTACCTACTACTGAAAAGCAGCACACAAGCGTACCACCCACTATATGTCCAACAGAACAAACCACTGCAACCACCACGCACGGTCACACTTCTACAACTACTACAGAAAAGGACTCTACCAGCGTACCACCCACTGTATGTCCTACAGAACAAACCACTACAACCATCACGCACGGTCACAGTTCTGTACCTACTACAGAAAAGGACTCTACCAGCGTACCAGCCTCTATGGGTCGATTAGAACATACTGAAACAGACGCATCGCGCAAACACGCCCCTGAAATTACTATAGTCGAGCCTCGATCGACTGTCTCCGCGAATGTACGTCCACCAGTACAAACCGCTGTCAACCCCAAGCGCGATCCCGCCACTGGAGCTGCTATAGTAACGGACCCTGCAAGGGTACCACCCACTGTAGGTCAACTAGTGGAAGATTACACTAGTAAGACCACTGTAGAAAAGCTCCAAACAAGCATATCAGTTACTGTAGGCCAGGTAGAACGAATCGCTGCAATCACCGCTCAACCGCCAGCACTGTCTGATAAAGTTGTCTCTGCTTCGACACCAGTACTCACTGCTGATGTGGCCCTAGCGCGTGAAGGTAAAAACGTAGCGGATACGGAGGAGCTTATGCCTACAGATGCAAATGGAGGCGATGTGTGTGACAAGAAGAGTGAGGTGGTGGATGTGCATGCAGGAGTGGGGACGAACGAAGGCTACTTGCGTGATAGCAAGAGCGTAGGGGACACAGATGGGCTTACAAGGACAGAGGCTATAGCAGGCGACATGCGTGATAGCAAGAGTGAAATGTATACAGAAGCACATACACATGCTAGTGCGAAAGATGGTGACGTGCGTGATAGTCAGAGTGTAGTGGACACAATTGGACAGCCACGGATAGCTGCGAATGCAGATGAGTTTCGTGATAGTACGAGTATAGTACAAACAGGTTCAGATACGACGGAGCCCATTCTCACGCAACTTAAGGCGAGTGTATGTGTGCCAGGGGGAACGGCGGCTTTGTTAGGCCCACCCGTAGTAAACCCTAAAACCTTATACCCTGGGGACATGGTAGCCGGTCACACAAGCACACTTGTAGGTCCTGGGGCACAGCCTAAAATTATAAACCCTGGGAACATGGTAGCTGGTCACGCAAACACACTTGTGAGTCCTGTGGCACAGCTTAAAACTCAAAACCCTGGTGACAAGACATCCGGCCACACAAGCACAATTGAAGGTACTGTTGTACAGCCTAAAGCCCCAAGCCCTGGGGACATGGTAGCCAGTCACACAAACACGGTTGTAGGTCCTGTGGTACAGCCTAAAACCATAAGACCTGGGGACATGGTAGCCGGTAACACAAACACGGTTGTAGGTCCTGTGGTACAGCCTAAAACCAAAAGCCCTAGGGGCATGGTAGCCGGTCACACAAACACAGTTGCAGGTCCAGTGGTACAACCTAAAACCCTAAGCTCTGGGGACAGGACATCCAGTCGCACAAACACACTTGCAGGTCCTGTGGTACAGTCTAAAACCCTAAACCCTGGTTGTAAGACATCCGGTCACACAACCACAGTGGTAGAGCCCGAAACCCTAAACCCTGGGGACCACACAGTTGGTCACGTCAATCCCATTGCAGGCTGCGCTGTTCAGCCACCCGCAAGCTCAACAGCATCAGTTACGGTTGGCACTACATCGAAAGTGAAATCTGCGGATACAGCGCGCGCCACGGATACGGCGAAGCGTGTACTTGCAGGCCAAGCGAAGGTGTTGGGAGTAACGTCGCCGCACGCCCATGGCGCAGATGGATCCGATAAGCGTGTAGGTAGCGAAGTCGGTGGAGATTGTCCCGATAGGAATGTCGACATCAAAACAGGGAGAAAGGACTACAAAAAGCGTTTAATTAGCCAAGTAAATGGGGTTAGTTTGAATAAGCATATATTTAGCAAATTTGATGGGATTGATTCAGATAGGCGTGTGGAGAGCCAGACAGCAGGTTCGGAGGCACGCACCGTGGGAATGATGCAGGCGACGGGTGGGGAAGCACAACCGATCGCACATACAGCAGCGAGTGTGAGTGTGACTAGACATGGTGGTACGACTCCAATGGACCCTGAAGAAGGCGGAATGCAGGATACAGTATCCGTCGGTACAACTGAGGTGGGAGACGGCGACATAGGAAAATTCACACAAACCACGAAGAACGTTACACAGCGAGCCCCCGCGACTATCGACACGTGCGGGGGGGCGGCTGTATACCGGTTTTCACACACTGTCGATGTGGATCGCAACCCGAACGATGTGAAGCGTGAGCCCCAAACAAGTCGTGGGGTTTCACCCTCACTCCCGCCCTCGCATTCTGCAAACACGAAGGGAACCCTAGAACCCTACGCCAGCGCTGAGGTTAAGCAGGAGCCTGCGAAGCTGCTCACGAGCATGCTTTCTACTAAAAAGGTCATCTCACCAGTACCTTCGATCACGATTGGGCCTATATCTCCTGGTGTGAGGCTTAGCAAAGCGGGCGTGGTGGCGAGGACATCTGGAGATACGTTGGCACCTGTTGTGAGTTTCGGTACTACAACGGGTGCAGTTGCGAAGACATCTGGTGATAAGTTGACGCCTGGTATGAGTCCCGCTACTAAGGCGGGGATAGTTGCGAAGACATCGGGACAAACGCTGGCCCCTGAGCTCAGCAATGAGATACAGACAACCAAGAGCGATGGCAAGACTGTAGGCGGTATTGTGGATGAGACTCAACGCAACATACGGCCCCAATCCATGGTCTCTAAACCTGTGCGTGGCCCAGGTAAGTCACTCTACACGGAAACAAGCGACAAGCACACGATCCCAATTCATACGGTAGTGCGTGGTACAAGCAAAGCACACCATGTAGAAAATAAGGACAAGGATACGATCCCAACGCATACGGGAAAGAAAGGGACCGAGATGGCAGAGAATCGCCCGCATTTGATCGATTTGAGTAATGAGAGCGATACAGAGGTGGTGCTGAAGAGGAGCGTGGGTAGCAAGGTCAAGGCGCAGCTCAGCACCAAGACTATGGAGAGCTCGACGGCCAACCCTGTGGCGGGTACTAAACGTAAGGACACTATTATTAACCGGGTGAACAACACCCCCGGCAACGGAGAAACCGCAGCCAGCACCACACTGAGTGTGGGTGTGGGTGTGGGTGCGGGTGATCGCAATAGCACTGTAAGCGGTGCGCACGGACTTATGTGTCCGCACGATGGCTGTCGGAGTGCCTGTCGGACATCCGAGTATCTGAGAAAGCATATACAACTGTGCCACCCGACCAGGGGAGATGGGGTTCCGACACAAGGGAGCACTCCGGCTAGTGATGGTATGAAAGTACCGTCTCTGCAGGATATGGACTTTGATTTGGACCTGAACACCTCGAGCCGTCAGGATACGGACACGGATACGGATGTGAATGCTGATACGCACACGCACACGCACAGAGTCAAGCATGAGCGCATGAATGTGGCACTGGTGGATGGGCAGGCAAACGCAGGCGACGGGTTAGTATCTTCTGCGACACCCCCTGTTGTATGCACACAGGCAGCACCTGATCAGAAAGATATGCCACAGTTGGAGACAGTCTCATCCGGGTTTACACAGACGAAGAAGACGACGACAATGCCATCTCTCGTTCAGAAGGAGCTGGGGAGTGCTGTGCCAGTGAGTGTGGGTATGCGCAATGGAGCCGAGGCGCAAGGGAAATCGGGGCCGAAGGAACGCAAGAGGCGGGATAAACCAGTCCCAAATACACGTAAACCAGGTTATGATCCAATTTTGCCAGCTTCCGCGCCACCCGGCATAGTCACCATCTCGCGATCGGGTATGAACATCTCACGACCCCTGGAGACCGTTCCACATTCCTCGGCCAATATCCCATCCAGTTCACTACCCTCGAATGTTCGGGCTCATGTTGATGTTATAGTCGCGAAGCCTAAGGGTACGGCCAGTGTGCATGAGAGTGCTGTGGCACACCCAACCGTCGGCAGTAGGAAGAGTTCTGCACATGAGAAACGATCCAAGGGCGCTGCGAAGCAGAGTAAGCGGAAACGTACCTACTTTAGTGATAGTAGTGGTGACGACGAGACGGTTGCTAAGGAGATTGCTAAGGACCGCAAGCGGAAGCACATAGTACACCGTGAAAGCAGCGGCATGTCGCAGAACCGAGGCCAACGAAAATACATCCTATCAAGCGATGGTAGCAGCGGCAGTGACTTCGATAGCCAAAGCCCCGACTTAGTGCACAACGCACACAAGCAGGCAAAACGCCGTAAGTGGATGTCGAATGTGACACACTGGTCTCAGTCTGGTGGCCATGACATAGACAGTGGGAATGAGATCGGCACGTCTGAGGTTGGCAGTGACGGGTATTGTAAGCGGTGTCATATATACACGCTGCAACTGGGTGAGACGTGTACGTGCGAGAAGGTACACGCGGTCAGCAAACATGCGGAACGGCGGCGGTCCACTCGGCCCACGAGAAAGGTGATGGTGGTTGGTAGTGAGAGTGGGAGTGAGAGTGGGAGTGAGAACGGCCGTGAGAGGGAAGATGGGGGGAGCAGTGGCAGTGGGGAGGACGACGATGTCAGCTATGAGATGCCGGATGAAACCCAGCACCTTACAACCCAGCACCCTAAAACCCTAAACTCGGGAAGTGGTGGGGTGCAGGCGAGTAGGGGAACCACCCAGGGCGGTGGTCTGAAAGAAAACAAAGGCGGCGATGTGCAACACCACCGGGAGACCAAGACCACACAACACACACTCGATGATAAGAGCACTCCGCGGACGGAGCCGAGCAAAGGTCCTAAGCGGTGGCGATGGTCTGAGTGGTCTGAGAGTAAAGATGGGAGCGGATCTAAGCCCAGGGCCAATGCTAAGGTGAAGGGCAAAGCTCTCACTGAGAGTGTAGCAGACGGGACAAGCACCAAGCAGAAGGAGGTGCGGGGTAGCGGGAAGGCCGCGGCGATTGCCCAGTCGAGTAGTCCAGCGAGTTTGGGACAGTGCGCTGATGCAGGTACAGGCGTGGGGAAGAGAGTGATATCACACGGTGATCTAGGTGCAAGTATGGGGACGAAGGTGATATTTCATTATGAAGGAGGTACAAGAGAGGGGAAAAAGGTCATGTCACACGGTGATATAGGTACAGGCATGAGGAAAAGGGTCATATCACACGGTGATTTAGGGACAAGCGTTGGGAAGAAGGTCATATCACACTTTGAAGCCGGTACAAGCATGGGGAAAAAGGTGATTTCACACGGTGATATAGATACAAGCATGGCCAAGAAGGTCATATCACACTTTGAAGTCGGTACTACTCTGGGGAAGAAGGTGATTTCGCCTGCAAAGGTGCCGGGTGGACTGGCGCAGCGCGCGCGAATGGGCCAGTCTCCCAGTGGTGGCAAGAAGGATTCGGGGTCACGTAAGCGGTTGAAACAGACGGATGTGAAGCGGTTGGAAGATAGAGAGGGGTCTAATGGCGAGCACAGTGGTGTGACTTCTAGTGAGACAATACCTGCCGCACGGGGTAACCACGGCAACATGAGTGAGGCTGCTGGCGAATCAGCTTCCGCGAAGGAGAGCGGTGATAAGCAAAAAGGTGCGCGTGACGATAGTTTTAACAAGGGTAAGAAAGCCTTGGCAAAGGAAGCGAGCCGCAGTAAACTACCCGGTGATAATTCAAAGCCGTCTGGTGCAGATAACGTAAACACGTCTAGTATAACAACGAGCACTTGGGAGACCCATGGCACGGGCGACCAGACCGCCATGCCAGCGGCCGTTCCCCTGACACCACCCCACGTGTCACACCCACCACTACACACGTTGTCACAGTCAAACTCACCACCCCACACGTTGCACCCACCCCACGCCACGGCACCAGCAGCGCAGGAGGCACCGGACGCCCAAGATGATCTGTTGATGTGTCCCATGAGTGGCTGTGACGAGCAGATGGCTCTGCGCCACATCAAACGGCACCAGGTGTTAGTGCACATGGGGGGGCTCATGTGTGTAGAGGGGTGTGGGGCGTTCTTCTTCGGCGAGCACGAACTGGCGGCGCACAGGACGTGGCATCTGGACAGGGAGAAGGAGCGCAGGAAGTACGAGACCCTCAATCGATTGAAGCAGATTTCTTCGGCTGCAGGGCCAGACTCGCGGGTAGTGCCGGTGGAGAGGTATACGCGAACGTCTGTGACGGCACAGATACCTGGGCATGCGGGGGACGCTGCGACCGGACAGAGTACGGCTGATGTGCAAGGACACTCTCAGGCACACGGTAGCCCTAGCATAAGAAATATACACACCACACATACGGGGGATGGCAGCAACACACGTACAGTAGTCGAACAAAACACCCACAGAGATCATAGCACCAACACACATACAGCGGGTCACAAGTCAACATACCAGGACGCGCCAGTGCCAGTGCGGCAAACGGCTGTGAAACGCGATCGATTAAGGATTATGTGTGCGTGGAGCGAGTATTGCAAACGAGTGTTTGTGAGTGAAGCCAAGTACAACCGACACCTAAAACGCGCGCATCGGTGCCGACACCCCACGTGCGACCGGAAGAAGCAGTACACCAACAAGGGCAAGTTTAAGGAACACAACGAGCGCAAGCACAAGAAGCACACGTACGCCTGTGAGCTGTGTGAGGGTATGTACGATACCACGACCGAACTACAGGCCCACTGTGTGGTGGCGCATGACGGCGTCGTGCCCTGTGCGGTGGGTGCGTGCTCAGAGTACTTTGACGGCCAAAACAGCATGCGAGCTCACTTTCGGCACCACTTTGGGGACGGAGAGGAGTACCAGTGTGACTGGAAGGGGTGCGTGGTATCCTTTGCTGACGAAGTGGACTATCTGTGGCACAAGAAATGGCCCCACAGATGTCCGTGGCGCAAGTGTGAGCGGACATTTATCGAGCGGTACGACTTTGAGACGCATCTGGAGATGGACCATGCCAATGAGAAGACGGAACGGTGTCTGGCGCTCGGGTGCGGGGCCATGTTTTCGAGTGGCCGGGATGTGAAGAAGCACGTGGATAAAAAGCACCCCACGTGTGCGATCGATGTGGAGGCGGAGTTGAAGAGACGTATGGAGAGCAAGGCGAAGGGCATTAGCCATATAGCCGTGCCTTCTTGGCCGTTGTCGTGGTATTCTCAAGTGTGAACTCTTTCTGCGAAGCTGAAGAAACGGATGGAGAGCAAGGCTAAGGGAAATGCCATATAGTTGTGCCACTTGGTCATTGTCATGATATTCTCAAGCGCGAGCACCGCCAATGAGAAGGCGGATACTCAGATAATTCGGAGTGGTGTATTGTGATTAGCTTTTGGGATGGTGGCCTTGAGTCTATTCAGGATTCGCATACTAAAAGGTGCCATTGAATTGGGAAAAACAGTGTGTGAATTAGGACTGGAATATTTTCCTGATTCAACCCCCGAGTACATCACACCCAAAAAGGTGTTTGGCAATCGTAGACAAATACAAAGGGGCCGGGTGTGTTTTAAACACCGGTGTGGCATGCTCGGCGTTTGTGCCTCAGGATACGCAACGAGGCGGCTGTGAGTAGATTGCGGATGAAGTAACTTGTGACGGTAGCTAATCAATGGAGCAAACATATGCATTGGAAAGCATATGTATTTTAATTTAGTAATATTTCACACGAACAATTAATAAAATAAAAAAGGAAATGTACTTCGGCACTATAACACACGTGGTGACAGGTCTGGTCGCCATTTTTGTTAAGATATTGGCAGGCGGGGACACTACATATGAGTATTGGGTAAACGACTACATCCACGAGATTGATAAGTATAGGGGATTTATATCTCAGGCCGTTTTCTCTATCTTATATCCGTCTTTCTAGCTACTTTCTCAAATATATGTATGTATACAAATGCATGTCAAATCTCACTCAACATAAAGATCTCAGCACTGCCTTTTCACAAATGTATAGTGTATATACCTGTCTCTCGATGCCTTCCGTATCTATAGACACATGCTTATTGGTACGTGGGTCGGCTATTTGGAAGTGAAAGTATACGGGATTTTGGGACAAACCCGGCCTATTCAAGGGTCGATATACATATACCTGCTGAAAAAAAAAAAGGACGCAGCCTCGCGTTCAATTTTCATTAGACTATGCATCCCAAAAGGAATTAAAGGACATATATATTGAAAGGAAAAATCAAAAACGTACATATTTTTTATAGGATGAATCAAAAACACACATATATTTATTATTTTAGAAGAAAAAAATGGTGAATTTTTTATATAAAAAGAAATTTGAGCAGTCCCCTTTGTCCAGAGAGTCGACTAACACTCCGCACTCCTACTGTTTTAGGGTTTAGGGATTAAGTTTCAGAAGTCGGCATTTGAGTTCAGTTGGCAGTGAGAAAACAAACGGTTACGTACGAATCTGGAATAAGTGTAGTTCGTTCGGGTCTAAAGTATACAGGTACTGTAGTTTTGTGGTTGAAAAGGTGTCAAAGTTGGGAGGGTTTGTGCCCTATACACGTTTATTCTTCTCTATCGACAAGGCCGGTACAAGGATGTGTGCTGAGTTAACGACAGGAAACTGCAACAGCATGCATACGCCAGAGAATTTCGGTACAAATAATATAGAATGAACCAGACCATCTAGGTCTATGTCCATAAGCATATGGCCTTGTGAGCTCGTTTTAACCCGACTGCTTTCCTTGCCCAAGTAAGACCCCACTTCCTCGATGCTTTCTGCACACCTCTTTTAACTCCATCGCCTTGTGCACAGGATGTCCAGCATGGGTTGTAAGTGTATGCATGGTTGTGCTGTATGTCTGTGAATGCTTGCTGTGTAGGTTGGTTGTGTTGCATGTATAGGCGTGGAGGTTTGGTATGTACATGCTCGGTTGCTTTTGTTCGGCTGTGCGTGCTCGCCAGTGCTTCGCAAAGCCCTGGCGCAACTAGCGTGTGCGTGGCAAAGGTGTACTCCCAGGCAATTCTTCCATGGGACTCGCGCACACCCACGCATGAATGACAGGTAAAACATCCGTGTTCCCACTCGCCGCCTCGACGCAGAGATGTTCGGCACAACTGTTCAGGGCCCCACTTGTCAGTCACATATCAGGCCATCACCTCCAGCCGTTGACCATGTACTTTGAACCCAAGTCTGGATACTATACGCTGACTACGGCTATCATACACTCCACACTAGAACTTGAATTTCAGGATAAGCTCCAAACCTCTTCGTATCAGTACCAGGCACAACGCACGACGCACGCAGTAGCCATACACACACACACACTCGGGGCAGCCTAACCGCATCGATACTCGCAACGACAATGGGGCCGTTCCAGTGCCACAGACAGACGAGAGTGCGCTTCGTGCAAGGGGCCGTATACGCATTTGTGCGGGTAGTAGTACGATGCAACGCCGACCCAAGCCGCGATGGTTTGAGAAGGTACGAGCATGAAGCAAGGTCTCACACCCCGTCAAATACATCGGGCTTGAACGTATGGATTGGAAAGCACAACGCGTTATACAGATTCATGGGGGGTACTCATACACAGGCATGCAATAGCCGTGTGACTAAATCAAATCGTCTGCGATTGTGATCTGTTGGTCTGGCGAACGTGCTGCTTCTACTTGTGCCCTCGTGTTTTCAGTAGGCTACAGCCCTAGTCAAGACCGTCTCCTTATTCCGTCACGCGCTTATTTGGCCACAGCCTCCGATCAAGTACCTCCTCTCATTCCGCCCCGCGTTTGTTTGGGCAACCTTAATCTAGTCCAAGTCCTGGACCATCAGCGCAACACTGCCAGTGAGCTTAGCGGCCCTGAGTGTCAGGCTGTGGTCGGTGTACTCAGTGCGTGGGAAGGAACACACCAGTGAGAAGTCGTCCGGGATATCGTGGTCTAGGTGGTGTCCCGCTACAAAGTCGTACACGTGCTGAAGGAAGGGCAAAAGCGCGAGACAAAGTTAGTACCATTTACCAAAAAAAAATATGTTGTAAAATCTACCTCGAATTATAGATATAGATATAGATATAGATATAGATATACATTCATACATACATACACACACACACACACACATTTATATATATATATATATATATGCGTGTGTGTGATAGACTTACAAGAATGATTCACGTGCACACCTTAACGCTATCATCTAGATTGAATCGTCTTTGAAGCCGCCCTCCCAGTGGCAACCGGAATACAATGTTTGCTGTCTCGGTTTGTCCTGTTTCAGGCTCTGCCGGCAACGCTTTGAAGTTCTTTTCGCGGAGATCCTCCAACTCCTGAAGTAAACCAAGCACAGCAACGGATATATAAACAGGGTGTCACAGGGACCCAAAACGAACAGAAATCCTAGTTTATAATAGAAATATGAACCCCCCCCAAAACCTCTTCCCCCCAACCAGGAGAGGAGCCAGGGACATAGAGAGACATAAAGTTTACTAAAGTGAGAAATTAAAATCAGAATTGTGGAAGAATAATGAAACGGTAAACACCTTATACACACACACACACACATATATATATATATAAATATATATATATAAATATAAATATGTATATATAAATATAAATTTATATTATATCTATCTATCTACACACACCTGTGCCACTCGCTCTTCCTCATCTATTTCACGCTGCTTGCGTTCCTCCTCCTCCCGTTCTTTTTCTTCTGCTGTTCTCTTTTGTTCGGCCTGTCCAGTTACGTGAAATCATTCGTAGGTGTGAATATCAAATATTACCTTCAAGATGGCTATACTATCCACGCAACAAACACAAATATAGAAATATAGTTTGGCTCAGTGTATTGTGAGGACATTCGTGGTTGTGAGTAATGGTCATTCATACGATAGAACTCCTATGATGATACTGTACATGCCAACAGACATACGCTGACAATGTAGTTCGGCCCGTTTGTAATGTTGTATGGGGTCATTTTGAAGGTACGAGTAATGACTAGACGTATAACATCCCATGTGATGAGAATACTGCACACTCCGTGGGAGACGTTCATTTCAGAAACAAGTATAGAATAATGGTGAAAATGCATATGCATACATGCCCACGCATATATCTATATATATATATATATACATACATACATGCATGCATATATACATACATACATCCATACACACACACACACACATACATTATATATATATCTATACATACATGCACATATATGTAAAATATCATACATACAATACACACACACACACACATATATATATATATATTATATACATATACTACATACATGACAGTGTATACATATAAGAATGTAATACACACACCTTCTCCTGGTCAGCTCTAAGTGATTCCTGGAAGGCTTGTTCTTGTTCGCGTAGTAAGTTGCGAGTGTTCAGACGCTCTAGCCTACATTTGGTATAGTCAGAAAAGTACACATAAAAACAATGTTCAAGAGCAGGCACCAAGGAGGCTCCCAACTCAAATACTAAGTATTTTCGCGGGCCAGATAAACTACGCTTGTATACTCACAGGTTGTGTCGTACGGTGTCTACCACGGTTTGTGACAATAGGGATTTGTGCAAGGTCGGCTTTTGCTACAAGACGACACACTCATAGAGGCAAACGAGTAAAAGCCACCACACACACACAGTACAATACAATATACTATAATGTAATAAAATTTGGACAATAATACAATACAACAATGCTTGGATACTAATATCCCTTGACATTACACTGCCACAGCAACATAAAATATAATGCAATAAAATATAACATATTATATATATATATATATATAGCAACACAAAGCCTTAATCAAATTCAGCATTCTGATCCCACCATACCTTTCGTTCCTCTGCAGCATCAGTTCAGCGTTAGCCATTTCGGTAAAACCTTTCAACTGCTCCGTGAAGTTGCTCACCGTGGAGATATCTATTAATAGAATATACAAACAAAAGTCAAGTTCGCAAAAACTAGTACATACTAACCTCCAATCGTGGCAACTCGTCTGGTTGTACTCCCGGCGGGCTGCACAATATCCACACACTGATATACCCCGAGGGTTTCCATCCCGGCAACGGATATAAACTCGTAAACATATACATATATAGATACGTTTACCTACACATACGCACAAGTAGGCTTCAGCTGCTAACCTTCAATCTTCCCAGCTAGCTTGGGCTTACTGCCGATAGGCAACACCGCAGCCACAAAGGTAGTATCCTGAGGCTTGCAACATAGTGGCCGTACCACAGCTCAGAGAGGAATCACAAACAAGTATATGACTGCGGAAATACACATGAACATAAAAATATACAGAAAAATAATATATATACATATAGATATACACATACACATCACATACAGATACATACATACATACATATATACATACGTACATATATACATACGTACACACATACATATTTACATACATGATATATATATATATATATATATGTATACTGCACATGTGTGACTATATCTGTACATATAGATTTAGGATACTAACCTTCAATTTTGCCAACCAACTTGATTTTACTACCAATTGGCAGCACCACAGCCACAAAGGGATATCCCGTGGCTTGCAACGCATTGGCCGTACCCCATCCCAGAGTCGAGCTAGCAGAAGCGGCGAAGAATACCGAGTCTTGTTGACACAGATCCATCACCGTCTGATTGCTCATAAACTCTCTGTTTCAAGTTCAGGGTTCAGGGTTTAGGGTTTACGATTTAGGATTGAATTTAGGTTTGAGTTTAATGCCTAGTCTGGGTCGTCAGGTACAGCTCGATGATTGACCTGCAAGTATTGACATTGCCATTGTTCGTAAACCGAGTCTTATTATCCAACGAGATTGCAAAATAAGGAGAAACACTGCTGAGATAACTATGGTGCGGCCAAGAGGGTCCGTACACTACTGCAAGCTAGCAGCACTTATCTCGATAGACCAGGAACTTATAAAGAGAGGAAATCATAGTCGATATAAAGAAGAATTTATAGTCAATACAGAGAGGAAATTATAGTCAATACAGGGAACATGTCCTAACTATTGAAGAAGATTGTCCGACTTTTAAAAACTTGTCCGATGACAGAGCTTGTTCCGTGTGATGAGCGCATGCTAATTTGAAGTGGCTTCTTTTAATAATAATGTTGCCCCAAATACAAAAAACTCGTTCCAATTTTGAAACTTTAATCCCAATTTTAAAGGGCTTGGCTTCAATCCTACCGCAAACCCTAGCCCTGCTCTATGTATAATGTACACATACAACTCTATATAGTTAACTCTGCAGATAGCCAAACCTAACATACAGAATGCCAGAGATACCCACAACTCATGCGTATAGATTCTAAGTATTCTTGTCTCGGTACGCCTGTATGCCCCACCTGTACAGCCCAGTATACGGGGAGGAGTTTGGCAAACAGTAAATGTAAACTGACAAGATGCATAGATTCCTTTAACAATGAGACTTTAATTTTAATCACTACTTAAGATTAATCATATCATATCGAAGCATATGTATACAAATGCTGAATCGATACACCCCACAGCATGCAGGGAAGAAAGTGTGTCAAAACGTAAACCAGCACACACATTTATGGACAGATGTATATACGATAATCAAAAGCTATCCATAGATGCACAAAACGTATACACTATCTTCATACGTATATAAGAATGTATTGCTTGTACAGCCTATTAAATACAAGACACCCACCTGCAGAAAATATCCAAAACCCTTTTACGTACACACTATCTGCATACGTATATAAGAATATATTGATTGTACAGCCTATTAAATACAAGACACCCACCTGCAGAAAATATCCGTATCCAGGTGTCGCGGAGAGTGAACATACACCACCACATACTGCAATCGCTCTTTGGCCAAACTCACAGCCTGTGATAAGAAATGGACCCAACAAACAAGAGTCAGCTACTAGTGCTCCATCAATCAGCCAATTCATTTTTGGGTTGTTTGCCATCGAAAGATATTTCATTTTTCTGGTTTGTGCGTGAAAAACTGTATTTTTGGTGTTTGACTGAGATATTGGCCCGAATTACTGGATCCCAGTAAGTCCAAGAGGGGCGCTGATGTACAACAGATGTATAAACTACTTATACATACATATAAACAGTCCAAACACAGCGCAAATAAGGATATATGTGAGAAATGACGTTAAAGTACCTCCGCGTATGCAACTACATATACATACACACACACAACATGCACGTAGCGCACGCATATAGTGTAAATATGAATATGATTAGATGACGAACATATACGTATGCAATTGTGTTTACATACACATGTACAAACATACACACGCCACAGATGTATAGTATGAATTAAGAATACGTTTGCGATGTAATATCCATACACGCATACAACCATATATACGGCGCAGAGATGCACGCCACAGATGTATAGTATGAATTAAGAATACGTTTGCGATGTAATATCCATACACGCATACAACCATATATACGGCGCAGAGATGAACGCACCTGTGAGAACGATCCGTGGAAAAAACTGGCGTGACGAGTTCCATACTTCTGATCATACTCGGTTTCAAACTCGCGTATTACAGTCTCTTCACTCTTGCCTATACGATCAATTCGAGTATGTCGATGAAATGGAATTAAAATCCAGGTGAATACAATTGAATATGAGGACGAACTAGAATTGGCATCCACGTGATTGACTTTGAATAACGTGGACAAGTTTGAATTGACTTCCAGGTGACTAAGGTACAAGACTGAGAATATAAATACGGGTTCAGGGGTCGTTGTACAAACCCGCAGAAGAAGATTGGATACAAGGTAGACAATAAATATAGTATACAGGCGAATACCGGTTTAGAGCTGGAACATAGACAGTTTCTAACGAGTCACTCTTACATGAGCACTTCAGTTGTAGGTAATAAAAGCAGCTAATGTCTCCCTATGAACCAAACTAGCCTTTGTAGCACAGACATGTATCCGTAGTGTTGACGGAAGCGCCAGGCAACGCAATATAAACCATATCGCGACAAATCATGTTCAACACAAAGGCTCAATAGCATGGTACGATACAATCAGTCTATAAAAGCCAAACAAAAACAAACAAACAAAACAAACAAAAAGCAACCCAACAGTGTAAGTAAGTGGATTGCGATAAATCACTAGTACCTCGGTAGCACACACCGCCAAATAAAAAGGGCCAACCCCCGCGGTACTACATCAAAGTAAATAAACCTAACCACAAAAGCACAGAAACGGCATACCCAAACCACCAGAAAGGGCCACAAAAGACCGGAAAGAATGTATCGCAATATATATATATATACTTCGACAGCACCAGAAATGTACACACCATGCGAAAACATGCCGCAAGGCGGAATGCCTTGCAATCAATAAAACCATCCCCAACATTCGCGTTGCAGTTGAATCTTGGCGTAAAATTGTATGGATACATAAAAAAACAAGCAGTTATGCACTTGCACTCATATAGTGTAGAAAGGAGACTGTATAAATAGATGACTGCGTATGTTTCTATGGGTTTGTTCCTCAACACCACAGGCACAGCACACAAGCCGTAGCCAGGTACCATAGGGTTTTACCATAGCATACCTTATAAAAGCTTAACCCCTAAAACACAATACCATAGTACACATACCAAAATCAGACTGGACAAAAGACCCGGAAACAGCAGTAATTGCCCTCAAAACCGGTCCTAATATGTAGTCCACCGCACTGAGAAAGGTCTGAATGGGCGAGAAGATCAAAGAGATGGCCCAGGACACCCACCCTTGGGGTTCTGCGCCCCTTCCTCGCCCGTTCCGTGGGTCGCCATTTGCACCTGTAAATGGGAATGGATGGGCTATGAGTTGTAGCGAAATGTACAGACATATATATTGAATAGTGTATGGTATAAATAGGTAGTATTGACATAGAAACACATGCGTGTAGGCGTTTAAGCATTACCGGAGAGTCAGAAAATTAGCGGAATTTCTGAAGAAAAAGAAAATAATACAAGGTGGATAAGATAACATAAAAGCTGGCCGTGGACATTGCGAGATTTTAAACAGACACGATTAGTGATATGAGCAATCAAGCAAGAATAGAAACGATTACAAGCAAAAACAACATGTAGCAACATACGCCTGACACGCACATGTATGAAGCATGAGAGCAATCATCTGCAAAATGATACCACAAGCGAATTAGGACACACAAACTCACACAACACGAATACATACATACATATACATATATTTTCAAATATATATATATATATATATGTATATATATATATATATATATA